AAAAAAAAAAAAAAAAAAACAGTTTCCAAAAATTCTGAAACAAAAATATGTCATGCAGAAGAATAAACTAAACAATATTTGCCACAACAATACAACCAAATTCCTTACCACATTTGAAATAAAAATCAAATACGAAAAATAAATAATATTAATGAAAATAAGAAAAAGAAAAACGAGAATGAAATTATTGCGTGGGCGAGCAAGTTTTTGACACCGCCATCTTTGGCGATTTTTATTTTTTTGTTGGCTTTGTCAAATGCCATGAAATTTTATAAATATGTATCTTAGATAATAGAGAACCTACAAATAAAGTTGGAAAAAATAATATTTTTTTTCAGGCCCCGAAATAAAGGGAAAACAAAAAGTGAAAAGAGAAAAAAAACAAATTAGTAAGTGGGAAAACAAGTTCTGACACCAACATCTTTGCCGATTTTTCATTATTGTTTGGCTCAACAGAATGACTTCAAAATTGAGAGACAGATGGCTTACATAACAAAGCACTCGCAAAAGAAACATCAGAAAAAAAAAATAATTTTTAGGTACTAAAATATTTTTTTGCGGGGTCCGAACCCCTTCGAGTTCGATCCCCGTACGGGGACCCGAGCGCCCGAACCTTAGGGGTTCAGCTTAGGGGCCTCCATGCGTTCGGCCTGGCAACCCTGTTTGTCACAGCCCCTCGTTTGTTGTCCTCTTCTTTCCCTCGGCCTACGGTTTACCGGGCAGTTCTATTTGTGACGATATATACAAGGTTCCCGGCGTTTGGGACGGGCCGAACACCTGAACCCGAACGCCCGAACGTTTGGGACCCCCTCTCGACACGTTCGGACGAACGGCCCCGAACGTTCGGGCGTTCGGGGGCCAAACACCTCCAAGTTCGGCCCCCTCCAAAAACTGTTTTGGAGCCTAAAAATAAGTTTTTCTACCTGAATTGTTTTTGTGAGTTCTTTATGATGTAACCTACACGCCTATTAATTTTGAAGCATTCTGATAACCCCAAAAAACATTAAAAATCGTCAAAGATGGGGGTGTCTAAACAAGCTCGCCCACTCAGTATTTTGTTTTTTTTCACTTTTAACTTTTTGTTTTCACTTAATTTTGGGGCCTAAAAACTTTTATTATTTTTTGAAAATTTTTTAATGAGTTATCGATTATGTAAACTACATATCTGTAAATTTTCAGGGCATTTGTCAATGCCAAAAGATAATTAAAAATCGGGAAAGATGGTGGTGTCGAAAAGGTGCTGTCACACTCACTCATTTTACTTCTCTTTTTATTTTTTCTTATTTTTATCAAAGTGTTTGTTTTCTGTATTTATTTTTTAATTCAAATTTGGTGACGAATTTGGATGTAGTGCCCAGGAAAATGTTGTTTAGTTTATTTTTCTCCATCGCATATGTTTTTTTTTGGCGTTTTGGAAAACGTTTTTTTTTTTTTTTTTTTTTTTTTTTTTTTTTTTTTTTTTTTTTTTTTTTTTTTTTTTTTTCGCGTTTGGCCCGAACTGCCGAACGCATGCCAAAGGGGTTCCGTACGTTCGGGCATTCAGGTTCGGGCGTTCGGCCCGTCCCAAACGTCGGTAACCCTATATATATAGATACATATGTACAGGGTAACTGGCGTTCGGGATGAGCCGAACGCCCGAGCCGGAGCGCCCGAACGTATGGGACCCCTTGGGGATGCGTTCGGCCGTTCAGGCGGAACGCGGACCCAAAAAAAAAAAAAGAAAAAAAAAATCGTCAAAAAAATATGAAAATATGATATGTTATAGAGAAAAATAAATTAAACAAGATTTGCCTGAGCATTACATCCGAATTCCTTACCAAATTTGAAATAAAAACAAAATACGAAAAAAAAAATACAAATAATAAAAATAAATAAAAATAAATAAAAATAAATAAAAATAAGAAGAGAAGTAAATTTAATGAATGCGCGAGCATGTTTTCGATACCGCCATCTTTGGCGATTTTTCATTTTTTTTTGGTAGAGCCAAATGCCCTGACAATTAATCGATGTGTACTTCATATAATACATAACCCACTAAAAAAGTTCCAAAAAATAATAAAATTGTTTAGACCTCGAACTAAAGTGAAAACAAAAAGTAGAAACTGAAAAAATACGTGGGCGAGCACGTTTTGACACCGCCATCTTTGGCGATTTTTAATTCTTATTTTGCTTAGCCAAATGACTTGAAACTCTAAAGGCATGTACCTCACGTTATAAAAAACTCACAGAAAAACATTCAGAAAACAATTATGATTTTTAGGCCCGAAATAATTTTTGGCGGGGGCTGAACGCCGTCGGGTTCGGACCCCGTACGGGATCCCGAACCCCCGTACGTACGCGCTGGTGACCCTGCATATATATATATATATATATATATATATATATATATATATATATATATATATATATATATATATATAGGGTAACCGGCATTCGGGACGGGCCGAACGCCCGAATCCGAACGCCCAAACGTATGGGACTCCTTGGGGATACGTTTGGTCGTTCGAGCCGAACGCGAAAAAAAAAAAAAAAAGTCATTAATAAAATCTGAAAAAAAGATATGTTATGGAAAAAAATAGACTAAACAAGATTTTTCCGAGCATTACATCCGAATTCCTTACAAAATTTAAAATAAAAATAAAATACAAAAAACAAATACTAGATACAAAAATAAATAAAAATAAAACGAGAATTAAATTTTGGGAGTGCGCGAGCATGTTTTCGACACCGCCATCTTTGGCGATTTTTTTTTTTTTTTTTTCACATCTAAATGCCCTGAAAATTTACAGATGTGTGCTTCACATAATAAAAACTCCACTTTAAAAGTTTCAAAAACTAATAAGATTGTTTAGACCCCGAACCAAAGTGAAAACAAAAAGTAAAAAGTGAAAAAATAGGTGGGCGAGCACGTTTTGACACCGCCATCTTTGGCGATTTTTAATTCTTATGTGGCTTAGCCAAATGACTTGAAAACTTACAGGCATGTACCGCACGTCATAGAGAACACAGAGAAAAACTTTCTAAGAAACAAAATTATTTTTAGGGCCCGAAATAATTTTTGGCGGGGGCCGAACGCCATCGGGCTCGGACCCCGTACGGGACCCTGAACGCCCGTACGTACGGAGGTCTACCTGCGGACCTCCTTACGTACGGGCGGGTGACCCTATATATATATATATATATATATATATATATATATATATAAAATTAAACGATCATGATAAATGAATAGACTGAAAAAAGAATATTTTTCTTGTGGTCGAATGCAAGATAAGAAGAAAAAAAGATGAGAGTGGGACGAAGTAATACATATTATAGGAGCGAATAGCTGAGAGCAGCGGAAAGTATATGGAAAAAAACAACAACGAGATAATGATTAGAGAAAACTTTAAATCTGCGTAGCACGCCGAACGTGTTCGCGCCCCTTCACGTTCGGGCAAACGTGCTCGCCCGTTCGTGCGAACAGCTTGTGAACATGTTCGGGCGAACATATTTTTTTTTCCGTAAAAAAAAAATAATAATAATAAATTATTTTTTCGTTTTTTTTTATTTTTAACTCATGATTCGCGACGAATTTGAACATGGCTCCAAGGCAAAAGTTGCTTGTATTGTTGTTTTACATAACATAAAATATGGTTTGGGGCGCTGGTTCACGTTCGGGCGAACATGTTCGCGTTCGCCTCCGAACGAGAACACGGTGCTGTGTAGCTTTAAATATAAAGTCCTATGGATTTTTATTCATTTTGTTTTTTTCCGTGCTATTTGTTATGAGTTGTAAGTTATTATTTTCTTTCCATATCGTGAGGAAAATTTTGTTTATCATTCATTTTCATTTGGTGCTTCGTTTAAATCGCACAGTAGAGTCGGGGTCGTTATTGTGTTAATATTGCACTTCACCTGTTCTTCAATTTCGCAGATTCTTATTATTTAGAAAAGTTTTGTGTAAAGCGAGTTAATATTATGCGTTTGAATCGGTCGTTGCTTTCAATGAGTGTCATCGTTTACACTTTTTCATTATAAAGTTCAACGTTCCCTCGCTCCTTCTCACTCCATCATTAACTAAATTATTTCCTTTTTATTTTCCTCCGTTGGGCTCAACAATCTCGATTTACCTCTAATCTAAAACACATGTTAAACAGGTATAAGTGTGGAA